AAAGTGGTTTATAGGGGGGGGGGGGTGATACTGTACACCCGTGTTGTCTTGGTCAACAGGGGTGAAAAAATCGGATTTGCTTAATTTTTAAGGTGATTGTAGGTCAATGGTTAGTTGATCTTTTCTGTAATTCTACATGAGGTGTAAGAATATATGTCGGTAAGTCTGTTGAAACTACTAGGTGCAATTTATAATAGCATGCTGCTGGTCAGTGCTGGGCTTGGCTGTTGTGCTTCCCAAATCTCCAGCACCCCCTACAAAAATGTTGCTCGATCCACCGTCGGATACATACAGTATATAGTACGGATTGTGTGCTATTATTATTTAGGCACCTGTCCCTTGGTGACACAATTATTACTGTATCAATGACAAATGTAGTACTGCGTTTATATACTATAAGAATTGTATGTTTTTTCCTTAATTGTGTACATAACTTACTATGTAAACTTGGCAATGAAGGACCAAACAAGCCAATTGTCTCAAAGCGAGGAAGAAAATGGTAATTTACATTTTATTTGTTCACAGTATAACTGTTTATTTTACTTTTATTGTGGGATTTGTGTCTAATGCCATAAAATACAGTAAACCAGTGATATGCACTTTAATTGCATATCAATAGATTAATTATTAACTTCTTAACCGAATGCAAGGTCTGTACAGAGAAATATGAGACCAAGGTCTTTTTGGTACGGACCGAGAATGTAAGGCGAAGTTTGTATCAAAAGGGCGAGGTTTGTATCAAAAGACAGAGGTCTGATATTTCTCTGTAGATACCGAGCAAGCGAGGTTAATAAAAAGTTTATTACATGGCATTTATAGTACTTGACACAAACAAGAAATGCATGATTTGAAGTACATATTAGTGGCGTGGTACACATTTAGTAGAAAACAAAAAAATGAATTCTTTTTCCACTAAAAACCATTATCAGACACCATATCTTATTAATTAATTAATAAAGAATTAAATTTGATATCTTTCAAATAGTTTTGCTGTTTTGTTTTAAAATGCATGCATTTGTTTTTAGTACGTAATGGACCGCCAGTCCAATACGGGGAAATAATGGACCACTGAAAGTGCTTCTCGGCCAATGACAGCACACCATTTCACAGGAAGTGATGCTTGCCATATAATAATAACCATTATGGTGCAAATAGTTCTGTTGCTCCCTTTAGAATATTCTAATATATATAGTTGTAGCACTTTAAAAATTCTTAATAAATTAAATTAATTACTTAAATTTTAAATTTTACTTTGTATGGCTATCACATTAAACAATATACCCCCTGTGCCTTAATTTTAAATTAATAAATTAAATTAAATTTATAATTTCACTTCAAAGGGGAGAGAGGATTATATATATATATATATATATATATATATATATATATATATATATATATATATATATATATATATATATATATATATATATATATATATATATATATATATATATATATATATATATATATATATATATATATATATATATATTCTATTACTGTAGATGACATCTCCAAGCTAGTTAATACCTTAAAAGCTTGTGGTGATACGGCAAATAATATATGGACAAGACTTAAATCCACCTACAACAAAGGTGATGATATTACCAATCTGTTGGCAGAATACACAAGAGAAAACAGTAGAAAAGACAACTACATAAACATTCTTGTGAATATGTATGAAGCAGAAATACAAAAATTAAAGGAGGATATAAAGTCAATTAACTGAACAACAGAAAGCTGCCATCAAAAGTGAAATGAAATTACATGAGGACATTTGTGATAAGAACATTCGTGGTAGTTCCATTTTGGAATCATTTGACAATATCAATCCTATGCTGTTTAAGGAAATTTTTGATGCATTTTCTGAAAAATGCCCCTTTGTATTTGAAATGATTGAATCCCTTGTGATTTCTAATCGAGTAAGTCGCAACATTAGTGAAGACCAATGCACATAAGATATTATGTGGCTTACAAACATTGGGATTTATTAGCAACATAAGGAACTCAAAACCACGGAATTGCTTCCCCTTGATGTTTGTCCTTCTTTGCATATCATATGGAGCTGGTGAAAGGTTTATTGACATGCTGCAATCAATGGGTCTGTCGTTGCACTGGAACACAATGTGAGAATCTTAAAATTAATTTAATTTCAATAATTGTAAATGTTCTTAACCCTTTATTAACCATGCAGTGTTACGCATTAGTCCCTTAGGCTGCAAGTCCCTTAGTTCCTGTTGCCAAATAAAGCTGTTTAGGAACAAAAAACAGATTAACCCATTCAGAGGAAGCACTCTCCACTTGTCAAGTAAAATCGTATGGCATTAGACAGAGTAAGTATGACGTATCAGGGTGCATTGCCACTTAAAGGGTTAAAATGTAAAATACCAAATCGGTGGCAGCGTAATGGATTGATAGAGTGTTTGCAGGGTATTTGAAATGCTTGAATTAAATAATGAAACTATTTGAATTCAGGTCTTTAAAGCCTGTTTTCCACTTCGACCGTAACGTACCGTCGCATTTTCTTTTGTGTCGAAGTCATTAGTTCCACTCTAGTGGTCAGGAAACAAACAGATACGGTTGAAGTGGAAAACTGACTTTATAGTCTTCAAGTCTAAAATTTTCGAATTGTATGAAATACACCTGTATCGACAAAAAGTTTTCAAATATCAAAAAGGTGTTTTTGATTTTGATCTCTTTGTCAAACACTTATAGATTTTGACAAATTTCAAATGAAAGAGAAAGTGAATTTTACGTTGTCATTGAACAGGAATAATTCTCTTACAATCGGAAAGTTTCCCATAATCGCACTCAATGATTCTGAAAAGCCTTTGAAAAATTCAAAACTTTGAAAGTCTTCTACTGTGATAGGAAACTCTTGCAGAAAGTTTGTCTGTACATTGTATTACACCCATTAGATTTATTTATTCTCATCTAAAGTTCTGTGATAATAAATTTTACAGCATGTCGTATTTTGGACAACCGGTTAAATGATTTTCAAACCCTAATTGATTATCGTGCACCTGCATCCAAGCCAGTTATGTTGTTGTTGGACAATATCAATTTGTACCATGGGAATAGAAGGCACCATCGACTGTTCAATCTCCTTGGTCCAAAAATGTGGAATTTTACTGTCCGTGGATTAGTGGTACCAAATGTTGATGGAATTGAGGATTTGTTTGAGTCTAAGGAAACAGCGGAGGAACCTCAGCATTCATTAAAGGATGTGAAAGTGCAAGATACATTCATAGGTGGGTGCATCTGTTTTAATTTTTACTATATCTACATGTTTTACAACAACTCTTAACTGCAATATTTAGTACACTGTCAGGTAGTTAGCTCTATGTCCAATTAATATAATTTCAGTATTGAAAAATGGCCTTTGAGCATTTTGATTCCCTTGGCTCCCTGAACAGTAACTCTAAAGCAATAGTTACTGCTCAGACTGCTCTGAGCAGTACAGTAACTATTGCTTTTCAAAAAACAGAATGGCTGAAAATCAGAGGGAAGTAAATTATTTATGCAAATAATTTTCATAAAATGAACACGTGTATCAGTTGTATTTATAGATAAAATTTATTCAATACTGAAATTATACTAAAACTATTAGTTGCCTTCGCTCTGTGATTACAAGCCTATATTCACTTCGGCTGAATATATGCTTGTAATCACTTCGCCTTTGGCGACTAATTGTTAAATAGAATGGCATTGTTTGCAACTATATATTACCTACTCACTCTCCTCTGCAAAAGCTGTTTGGTTATGTTCGCCTATTTAACAGAATGAGTGAATAACAGGCGGGCTAACTAAAATAGCCAAACAACCACAGAGTGTTACAGTACCTGCTACATCATCACAAAAAATATGTACTGTACAGTAATAACTGTTCTTTTTTAACATTTATGATTTCAGAGTCACATCCTGACCATTTGAAAGTATGGAATGATGTGAAAGACCATTTTTTTATTGGAAATCCTTGACCAAGCATTGAACACTATTCCAGACAGCGACAACCCTATTTCTGACATGAGCGAAAAAGATTTCAATGATCGGCTGACAAAGCAGGATTTTTCTGAAAAAAAGAAACCGGTATATGACATTCGTGTACCTAAGCTTCAGATGCAATCAAGCCCACACTGAGAAAAGTCTGATACTTTAATACTTCCTCTCTCTCTTGAGAACAATGCTACAACTAATGGGACTGCAGCGATAATTGAAGAGTTTGGTACAGAATTTGGTGTCCCGTGCGAACACGCAAAGGAATACCTGCCATTTGACGATACAAATAAGGTATTTAACATTGAGGCAGCAAGAAAACATCATGTGTTTCTCGCATCGTTAAAAGAACATAAGAAGGAGATGGCTGAGACTATTCGCATTTTAAAGAATGCTGAAAAAGAACTTCAATTCAATGTGATAGAGGAGAATGACAATGACAACGTCAACGACGACCTCGATAATGTACATTTTACAGACATTAACAAACAGAAAGTCAACGCTAAGTTTGACAATGTTTTCAAAAATATGATGAAGCGTATGTGGGAAGCCCAGCAAGGTGATGAAGAAAAGTTTGAAAATTTTATTGGCTGGTTGCATTCCCATAGAAATGCCTGGGAAAACGTTAAAGATTTTAATGGAAGAACGCTCATTCATGCCGCTGTGGAGAATGACAATTTGTCAATGGTAAAAACTCTGGTTTGTGCAGGAGTAAATATTAATGCCAAGGAAAGATGTGGCGCTACTGCACTCACCATAGCTGTTATCAAGAAGAATGAAGAGATGTGTAAGTTTCTTCTGGAAAACTTTGCCATATGTGATGATCATTTTTTCCCAACGATCCCTAGTCCACATGTGATTGCAAGAAAGCTTGAATTGGGAGTTGCAAATCTCATGGATGAGAAATCAAAGGCAGAAATAGCAACCAACATTAAATTATGGGAAACTGTTCAAAACACAGAAGAGATTGAACAACAAGAAAGTGTTTCCGAAAATGATCAATCAGATAGAAATGATGAAGCTTACCGATATGAAAGGAAATCCTCTCTTACCTTGTTTGTTGGTGATCAAGGAACAAAGAAGGTTTTACGCGGAGTTAAGGGACGTTCAGTCTAATATCGTCTATATATGTACTTGTATCTAATAGAATGGAGCGTTATATACATGTAGACATTACCGTAATTGGCCTTGCAAGTATTTAATTATATACTATAGACTTTTATAAAGTCTGCTTTGTGACGTAGTTTGTGATAAATACAGCAATTTTAGCCAATCAGGCAAGGAAATAGTCATGTGGGGTTTTCCTTTATCCGCAAACTATGTCATAAAGCAGACTTTATAAAGGTCTATACAAATACAATGTACTGTTATGGTATAAAAACACCTAATAAATAAAAAATTTCAAACATAGGCCATATGTATGTGAATATACTGTGTATAAATATGTTATACTGTATGAATGTTTTGTGTATGTTAATGTATTATGAATGTATCATGTATGTAGATTGACATGTGAATTCTCTTTGGGTCAACGAGAAAATGTTTTCAGTCGAGAGAAGCATTTAATGTTCATCCCACAACGAAGCATAAGGAGCAAGACCCATTTCCAGACCAGTTGAAAGCTGCTCACTTTGTCCTGGAAAGGAAGTTTGTTACTCCAGATTTGAGTAGAAGCAAGGTTGAGCAATTTGGGGATCCCAAGAAAACTCCTATACCAATCTCCAACATCGATGCATATGATGCAGGAAAAAGAAAAGTCATTCAAAATTTTGAGCAAAAAAAATTTTCATTGTACGGAATAAGCATAGAACAAAATGACAGTGATAAGTCGGATAACGAAGAAATGGATTCAAACTAAGGAAATAATTTATGGTACTACATAATATGCAATCACTGTTTTTTACCAGTAATTAACTTGGCCTCTTTTATAAGTAAGAAACCTTTGCCTTCTTCTTATAAGGATCAAGGGCACCATTGAAATATGTTGCATTTACACCTTTTGTTTGCAAACAATAGCTAATGTCCAGTGTAGTTGCTCTTTCTGTACAATACACAATGCCACATTGACCGTTATGTTCATTAACGATCATATTGGTAGCCTGCTCTTTCTCATCACCTTTTTTTGGCTTAACAATAAGTGAAATGTTTCGTCTATCACATGTTTGTCTTATTGTTGTAGCACTGGTGAGATTAAGTGATGACAGTATTATTTCTTCTGTCCTTGGAGTACAAGTTGCTGTCAAAGCAATAACTTGACAGTTTAAACTTGCAAGCATACCAAGATTGCCATATGCTGGTCTAAAATCAAATCCCCACATGTCAATACAATGACACTCATCAATGACTATGTAAGTTAAAGTACCATTTGATTTCATCTTTGACAATACATCTACAATATCTGATGATGTTGCAGTTTCTGGTGTCAGGAAGACAAAGTTGTAGTCTGGTGCCTCTGACAACATATTATGTACAATAACATCTCGATCACTTTGTGGGACTGATGAGTTTAAGTAACATACATTAAGTTCTTTTGATCGTAGCATATTTACTTGGTCCATCAACAGTGACAACAATGGACAGATGACAACAGTAACACCACCAGAAACAATTGCTGGTACTGAATAGCACACTGATTTCCCCCCACCAGTGGGCATTACAATCAAGCAATTTTTCCCCTCCAATATTGCATTTATGGCCTCCACTTGTTTTCCTCTAAAACTGTCATGTCCAAAAATTGTTTTTAAAACAGAAAGCTTGGAATCATTTGATGCAGCAATTAAGTCCAGACTGCCAAATTGTTCTTCAACATTTCCAAACGGTAGTGGAGCTGTCAACGCTGGTGTTGAATGGATGTGCTATTAAAAAATGATATCAAATAAGACCGTCAAATTTATATAATGAAACCTAAACATATATTCCATCAAGCAGCAGTTTTGCATGTTTACTGTACTTATTCCACATTGGAAAAGGCAAGGCAATCATTCAGCATTTATTACCAGATGATCTTACTCAAATGTTTAGTAGCAGACTTACAAGGGTACTAGTCAATGAAAAAGTCTTGAGGTTTTTGGGTTAGATAAAATCCTACTCAAATACCTACGCCTTGTCCTATGATTAACCCATTGAGTGGCAGCACTCTCCCCCTGACGAGTAAAATTGTCTGACGTTAGACAGAGTAAGATAATAACGTGGGATGCATTGCAGCATGGTCAGATTGTCTGATTAACTCCTTGAGTGGCAACACTCTCCCCCTGAGTTCTGACGAGTAAAATTGTCTGGTGATAGACAGAGTAAGATAATAAAGTAGGGTGCATTGCCACTTAAAGTAGATTAATTTAACATGTAATGCTGCAGATCTCTGGTGTCCAGTCTAATGGGATAGTCACTATTAACCTAAGTGCATTCTGTGCAAAGTTCACACCCAATATGGACAGTTTTACGCTGATTATAAATAGTATCATGAATTTTAACTTTGCACTTTTGTGTACAGAATGCATTATGGACTACAGGTGTTAAGTACTGAAAAACATTTAAAGGCATGTAAAGTCTGTGATGTAAACAAACGCTTTGTTCACGTTTTGAACTCAGTGCTACAGTTGTAAAATATGATTAGATATATACTATACAGAATTTTTAACACTCGCCCGGTTCTCTATGCTTGTAAATTAATACAGACTAGAAATTCGATTCAAGAAAGTTCAAGAAGGTGCGAAATATTAACAACATTCCAATGGTTGGATCCTGACCATTGGAATGTTGACATGCGCAGAGTGGACTTTACATGGTCTTTAATTAATATATATTGGTATACTAGCAAGAAGATACATTGTCCATACTCTATACAGCATTTTAATATTTAACCAGCAATCCACTTTACCATAACTTTACATGACGTATTTACTTCCTCGTAGCTTTTCAAGACACCAAGGTGTTTAAGATACATGCCATAATATTTAGCAACTTCGGTTGCATCTTCGCCAAACAGTCGCACTGTTTTCCCAGACGTTTCACAAACTACTGTTACGAGGCTCTATTTATAGGTAGTGAATCGTTACAACCAATCTCTAATAACTATCAGTTCTTAATGTTCGTCTTCTCGTAGTAGTTTCCTAAAGTTCACTTCATTTCACTTTGCTCATCAGTCTTCACTTTGCTTCACTTTACTGATCAGTCCACTGGGAATCCACTGAGGAATCATCCACTGAGAATTCATCCACTGAGAATTCATCCACGTGACGAATTTCGGTTGTGCACGCCCTTTTATACTAACGGTTGTGGGATCTTTGTACACGTGATGTAGCAAGTGGTGTGATTTGTATCCAGACAATCAACGTTGAGGTTTAAAAGTGTGGGTTGGCGTTGTTAGCTCGTTCCAGCCCTCAAATTCTGTTTATTTAATGCGTTGTCGCACTTGTCGAGTTGGTTCGCTGTTCAATCGAACAATGTTAAAATATGTTCACAACTTAAAATACTTATCAAAATATCATAGTAAAAACTTCAAACTATACCTATGTGAACCTTACTTTACCTACTAAACTAAATTTACTTACAATTTTATTGAACCAAAACCTTGATGACGTAATGTTATCATTACTCAACC